CCCATCGCACACTGGAACCCTCAAAGTCAACCCCTGATGAATAGGGCCAGTGTTCTCCGGATATTGGCATGGTTCTTCCAAAATTACTCTTGATTTCCAGAATCACCGATTCCCTCCGATTTTCCACCTTGAGCTGTGGCCGTTCAAGCCATTCCCGACCAACGCCTAGCCTGGTTACGCCTGAGGAGAGAGTTAAAGAATTCGGCACCGACGTGCTCCATGTGAGCAGAGGGAAGTTACTGTACACAATTCGCACCACAGTTCTTGTCCAGGTTAAAAAGGGCTGCACAGGTGACCACCTGGAAGCACCGGAAAAAGAAAACGAAGGGCAGAGAGTGGAGACGTGACAGCCGCAAAGCCACAGCTCCCAACTACTGGCACGTGTACACGAGGAAAATCAGAAATCCAGAGGAATGACAGTACTAGACTAGATGGAGGCCGGTGGCAGTGTAGATATCCCACTAGACAAACCAGACAATCCCCAAATGCGAGAATTCCTAAATGAGATGAGTCCATATTCCCCGTGTCTTTGAACTAAACAAGCACCAACGGAGCGCCGAATGGAAGGGTTAGCATGTTGCTGTAATTGTGGATGACTATCCAAGCAGTCTACATTGACATGTTGCAAATATTCAAATACAGCGGATGCAGGTTTCAGAAGATTGCCCAGTTGCTGCCGAGCTCATAGAAACAGTGGAGTTTGAACGTGTTCATTACTCCACAGTTGCGCACGCTGTTATAAAGACTTGTACAACACAAAATTGACTTTTCAAATGCAGTGGGCTTATGTGACGGGTAATGCAACCGACATGTGGAAGTCATTCAAAGACCGTTTAAGTGACATTTTAAACAACTGCATTCTTGTGACCTGAGGGGGATGCGTTACAGCTTTACTAGATGAGCGCTGACGCGGTTTCTAGACAGAAGTGGACCGTCTGTGTGCTGTAACGAAAACAGCTACCCCCCACTCAAATACACTCATTTCGGAGACTACTTTATCGACCATTGAGTTGAAAGCCTGAGATTACCTCCGGAACCAGTTGTAACAAGATGAACAACTTGGTTTAAAGCCGTAGACAATCATGTGGAGCACTACAAGGGGGTCGTTGCTCGGGAAATCAACGTACACAGCTGCCGTTTTAGAGGAACTAAGTGTTTTATTGCAGAGTGAATCGCTTGCGGCAGATTGAATTTTTATCCAAGCAGAAGCAACTCCACTTGTTCAGACCCTACTTGGGTTTGAATCCCGGTCAACATCCCCAACAGAAGTGTGCAACCTTGGATCTGATCTGCTGGCAACATTTCAGTACAAAGGACAGAATGCCCTGGACAATCTCAAGTGTCAAGTTTTTCAAAGCTGTGCAGCGAAAGTGTAGGGGGTACTTAAATACAAACAGCCAGCATAGAGATTTTTTCATGATGTGAGAACCCTTGATTCCAAGCAAGGTCGTGTACTCTCCCACGACGTCAGTGACGATGAACAGAGTACAGTAACGTCTCGCTTAACATTGTAGTTCTGTTCCTGAAAAATGCGACTTTAAGTGAAACGATGTTAAGTGAATCCAATTTCCCCCGAAAGAATTAAGGTAAATAGGGGAGGTTAGGTTCCAGAGGATTTATATATATATATATATAAAGTTTTAAACAAACAGTTGAATACTGTACACAGCCATGACGATTGTGAAGCTTGGTTGAGGTGGTGAAGTCAGAGGGTGGGATATTTCCCAGGGAATGCCTCACTGCTAAACGATGAACTAGCACTCGGCTGAGCCTCAAGGATTAACACATTGTTGTTAATGTAGCCTCACACTCTACAAGGCAGCACGAATGGAGGGAGGGGAGAGAACATGGCAGACAGAGACACACACCGTGTGTGTGAGAGAGAGATGCACATTGCCCCTGTAAGTACGCCGACCCCACTCTAAGTACACTGCCTTTTTACATAGATCAGCACGATGAGACAGCAGCTGCTGCTAGCAAGCTCTCTCTGTCCTGAGCCCTGTCGTGTGTCTCCCCGCCCCTGCTCTATGGAGATGGGGTAAGCGGGGAGCAGGGGGAGGGGGACAGCCTGACATTAGCCCCCCTCTCCTCCACCGCCCGCACAGCAAGCAGGAGGTTCCCGGGAGCAGCTCCATGGCAGAGGGCAGGAGTGGCACATGGCAGTGGGGGGAGGGACAGCTGAACTGCCGGCAATTGGTAGCCTGCTGGGCGGCTGCCGCACAGGGAACTTAGGGGAATGGAGAGCTGATGGGGGGGCTGCTGGTCCACCCTGGTTCCAAGCCCCCACCAGCGAGCTGCAACGGGCTGCTCCTTCTGCAAGCCGTGGACAAAGCCTGCAGCTGCTAAACAACGTTATAAGGGAGCATTGCACAACTTTACAAGAGCGTGTTCTCTAATTGATCAGCAATGAAACAACATTAACCGGGAGGACGTTAAGTGAGACGTTCCTGTATTCCGCTGCTCTGATCTGTACCCGGGGGTGAGTGGGCCGTCTACCTGAACACTATCAATGAACTTCCTCGTGCGAATGACATTTCTCTCTCCAGTTTTTGGACAAACATTTGCCAAGACTTAGCCAGACTGCTCGTGTTCTTTGGGCGAGCCCGTGCAATTCAGCCGATGCTGAATGCAGTTTGGCCAAACTTGGACAAGAGCTAACCACGCAACGTGACTCGCTGTTGTGAGGATGGATGCCCAAATGAGCTGTAAAGTGTCCGAAGCGTGTGTCAATGACTATTTGTATGCTGATATAGGTGATCTACCACTCAAGAAAGAGATCTTGGAGTCATTGTGGAGAGGTCTCTGAAAACATCCACTCAATGTGCAGCGGCAGTCAAAAAAACGAGCAGAATGTTGGGAATCATCAAGAAAGGGATAGATAATAGGACAGAAAATATCATATTGCCTCTATATAAACCCATGGGACGCCCATACCTTGAGTACTGTGTGCAGATGTGGTCGCCCCATCTCAAAAAAGATATATTGGAATTGGAAAAGGTTCAGAAAAGGGCAACAAAAATGATGAGGGGTCTGGAACGGCTTCCGTATGAGGAGAGATTAATAAGACTAGGACTCTTCAGCTTGGAAAAGAGACGGCTAAGGGGAGATATGATTGAGGTCTATAAAATCATGACTGGTGTAGAGAAAGTAGTTAAGGAAGTGTTGTTTACGACTTCTCATGACACAAGAACTAAGGGTCACCAGATGAAATTAATAGGCAGCAGGTTTAAAACAAACAAAAGGCAGTATTTCTTCACACAATGCATAGTCAACCTGTGGAACTCCTTGCCAGAGGGTGTTGTGAAGGCCAAGACCATAACACGGTTCAAAAAAGAACTAGATAAATTCATGGAGGATAGGTCCATCAATGGCTATTAGCCAGCATGGACAGGGATGGTGTCCCTAGCCTCTGTTTGCCAGAAGCTGGTAATGGGTGACAGGGGATGAATCACTTGATGATTCCCTGTTCTGTTCATTCCCTCTGGGGCATCTGGTATTGGCCACTGTCGGAAGACAGGACACTGGGCTAGACGGACCTTTGGTCTGACCCAGTAGGGCCGTTCTTATGTTCTTATATACAGATATTTGCAGTAACACCATAGTTTCCTTTAAGCAGAAATGTAATTATTCCAAATTTTCCTGAGCTGTTACATCGTTGCAGAAAACAATAATCCAACTTTTATTTTAATTGCACAGTCTTGCTCGGCAAGAATTCTGTTTTGTATTTATAGCGATGATCACCTCAGACATTTCTTATGTTCTAAAACTGACAATTTTGGTTAGTAAAAAAAAAAAAGTCCAAGTGTCCGTCAACATTGTAATGTAGGCGACCGCATTTTCGTGCCGTAAAAGGATTATACATTGCTCATGTTTGCCGATACGTGTATTTTTGGTATTAAAATAATGCGTGACTGACATTTCCAAACAACAAAGCTTCGCAAATCCGAAATGAGTCTGTTTTCGGTGCCGGAAGACACGGGCCCTACCGATGAAGCGTGGGCAGCCGAATGGAGTTCACAAGACATCGCAAACAAACACCTCGTGAACGAGCCGCTGGCTTTGAACTCCCGCCAAGTTCACGGGCAACCCCAAACCGCAGCCGCTTCAGGTCTTGTCCCGGCTGTGGACCCGGCGGTGTTTGACCACGTGGGAGCGCTGGCTGAAGCCGCGCCCGCACTCCCCGCAGGTGTAGGGCTTCTCCCCAGTGTGGACATGCTGGTGTTTGAGCAGGTCGGAGCTCTGGAGGAAGCGTTTGCTGCAATCAGTGCAGCCGAAGGA